ATGTGCTACAAAACTGCGTACCAGAAAATTTTCTAAATATTCTAATTCAAAATTTTGATGACAATTTTTTGAAGTTTGATTAATTTTGTTGCAATTTGTGCAAGCTTTGCAGCTTTTGTTATTGTGGTTTCTGTTATAGATCGAATTATATTTTAAATGAAAATTATTAAAAATAAACAAATAAACATAATTTGCAAGCAATATCGTTTTGAATTTCGTTGCTAATTAGTTGAACATATCTGTACATATATCAGATAAAACATAAATAAAAGTTGCAAAGCTTGCACAAAGTTCACAACAACTAATCTGATATATGTAGATCGACCCATATGTAAAATGAAAATTACTAACAATAAATAAATAAAGATAAGTTGCCACAGCATCATTTTGAATTTTACTGCTATTATTTTTAGCGCAACTGTACATATGTACGTTCTTTTCGAACCAATTTTGTTTTATAAATACGCTTACATTTTAAACTTGCAAATATACGTTAAGCTCTTATGCCAAAATTCAGTAAATAACTTAAGTTTGTACTTTCTTTTCTTATAATTATATTAAGGATTCAGTCCAAAGTGTGAATAAGGCGTTATATTAATTATTCAGTTCAGAAATTAATTACTGATTATTTGCTGTTGCTGCATTTTTAAAGTGGCGCTTTTTTTGAACCCTGAAAGCACGGCGCAATTGCTCTTCTGGATTAGTAACACCTGGTAATTGCGAAATGGCATCTAATTAAAGATACAAACGTTAGTTAATTTAAAGTTACAAAATATTATTTTCACATAACCACATGTGTATCTGTAGGCCATTGGACAAATCACTTTCAACGTTTTTTTAACTTCAGCAGTAAATAAATTATTTTTAGTTATATTGCATAACTCAGAAAAACCCGAGTCAAGTTTAGTTTGTGAAACATCCCAAGATACACATGTAGGTAGATATGTGTGCACGTATGTATGTCTGTATACCTAAAAGCGCAGCATAAAATTTTTTAAAAGACTTCAGGCTTTGTTTTCCATGTGTACCGTCTATGTTATATCGTATTATCATCGACTCGGCGAGAATGTTTCTGAAATTTTTATGGGCGGAATACTGAAAAAGTTTTCTCATCATGGAAACCTGTGAAATATAATTAATTTAAAGACTTCCATATCGCCAAGTTAAAATTTAATGGCGTTTTCTTTTCTACCGAAACATTTTGCACAAATACTTAGGAGAGGACAGTAAAAAGGCACCATTTTCTCTAGAAAAGAAAACACCATTAGTAAGATTCAATGCTTACGTAAATGTCTCGGTTGTCCTGAAATATTTTTTCATCTACGGCGGCTAAAGCTTCATCGGTACAAATTGGAAAGAGGTCGCCAATGGGCGCAGCAAGAGATTCCTGGCGAATTAGCTTGCTGATTAAAATTTTATGTTCTGCCAAAACTGTCATAAGAGCTTTGTTTTGTAAAAGGTGGTTTTCTAAAATGAAAAGTAATGTAATTTTGTTTTTCTCCACAGGTATGTATGCATATTACTTTCGATTTGCTCCAACTTGTCTAACATAGATAATTTCAAGTTTTCTTCGCGTTCTGAAGAGAAATATAAAGAGTCAATAAATATACAAAATGATAGATATATAAATATATAAATACTGAAGTAAATAGATATGCAAACAAATAAAAATACCTACGTACACTCCTCGTCATTTGACCTTATTTGACCCTTTTAGTCCTTAGTATTTCCGTTTGTTTATGCAATATTTACTTTTTTTTATAAAAATATAGCATAATGTGGCGAATACTGCGGCAACGCGAAGCGAACAACAAGAAAATGTCCGACGAAAGGCGTAGAATATTCGACAGCAAGAAATGTAAAGTGGAATACAGCGAACAGCGAGAGTATTAAAGAATGTGCGATAGATGGCACAACGTTCTAGAGTTGCCATGAGTTCGAGTGCAAGTATATAAGGCCGCTGCCACAGCGCACCAAAAAGTGCAGTTGTAAAACAGAGATCGATTGTGTTAGCGAGTTTTGCAAAGTATTGTAGTTGTCTTAACAAGTATTGTTAATTGTTGTTATTGCCGAAACAAGTATTTAAAAGTATTTGTTGTACAATAGAGTTAATTGTACTGTACTTTGGTCATATTGAGGGTTTGTTTAAAAATATTCTGCAAATCCGATTTTAAAATTTTATACGAATTTAAAAAATGTCAAGGAATGTCAACAAAGGGGTGCGCTAAACTAATGATCTGCAGTGGTTAACTTGATAATATTAAAAAAAAAGTATTCGGTATGCAGGTTAGTACCCCATTCTATTCTGGTATAATAAAGTGCCAGTTTAAAGCGATCGTAAATAGCGTTGATTTTAGAAAATTTTGCTATATTTTTATTTAATTAATTCATTTAAAAATTAATGAATAATAAATAAACAAACGGAAAACTGAAAATACTAAGGAATAAAAGGGTCAAATGACGAGGAGTGTATATATATATATATATATATATTTTTTTTGAGTATATACATACCTTTAATTTCATTAAATTGTTCTTGAAAATTAACGCATCTGGTGCACTCACTTGTGGGATTGGTAGCTGTAGTAAATATAACATAAATAAAAAAATGTTAATTGGGTTTCAAATGCATTTATTTTTGAAAATACTTACCTTGCGGAAGCAGATCGCTACGAACTTTTAACCTCTTAAACGACATTGCGATTTTATCCTTTTGTATATATTTCTGTTATTAAAAAAACGAATCTGCGAAAAGTGGTGTTAAATACTTGAATACTCAACAACAACCATGTAAGATTGGAAGCATGAGTAAGCGGCCATCGTGTGGCAGACCCAACAACTTAACATCTATATCATTAACGCTGAATATTTGTTCTTCATCTGATGGCTACAAGGGCAGACAAAAAACTTTCAACACAGTCAGGTTTCTTAGCGCCCAAGT